GCCCACGATAAGAATTGTTAATTTAATTGTAAAATAAAAACAGTTAAACTCGAAATGTCAATCAATTCGAAAAACATAACGAAATAATCAATCGTTTTGCTTACATTTAATTTAATTTAAATTGAAATTTATTCTCTGATTTATCACATTATTCTTCGACAAATTATATATTTTCGTTTCATATACTACAAATATCAATTATTTCACCTCTGTATTAGTTTATTCGTTCCTTTTTTTATAATTCACTTTTGTATCGAAGGTTTACCGTGTATTGTGAAACAATATGGCGTCTCTTATTGGTAGACATTTTTATATCATACATCAAACATAACCTACATTTAACAAATTCGCGTTTACTTTTTGTACAATTAATCAAAACAAATAATTCAAATAAATTCTGATTATCAATGAATGTTTTTTATAAACTCGTAAATATAATTTAATCGAAATTAAATGTAGAAAAATCAAGTAGAAGAAAAAATTAATTTGAATGATCACAAAGTTTGAAATTTCACTAGACAGAAAATAAATGTATAATATAATCGGACACATACACACACATACACACCAAGAAAGTTTTAGTTTCAGAAATATACGAAAGTTTATATAAAAAAAAGAAGCCACCTGTATATATATAATAAAGTACTTGAGTAACTTCGACATCTAAAGTTGAGACTCTTGGGTGTCTCCACGGCATCGGGATCACGAAAAACTTTCCAAAAGACAACTACCAGAGACACAGAAGTTGTATTTCTATGACGAATAAACACCGGTGGTGGGTTACACGAGTGCTCTAACTTTATCCACCCCCCCTCCTCTTTTAAAATAACAATTGGGTGTGTGTGTGTGTTTTAAAAAGGGTACAGAGAAATAGAAAATCAAATCTTACGTATACTGGGTGATTCAAATATATATTTTTTTTAAATGGTTCAAAAATTGTTTCGTTAATTTAATTTTACGTAAGAAAGTTTGTGAACAAAATTCGTAAGATCATTTTCATAATTTTTTATTATTATCATTATTATTTTGTGTTGAAAGCTTTTTTATTAAAAGTTACTTAATTAGACTTGTAAAAATATGTTAAAATATTTTTTGGAATTTTCATTAATAAGATTTGAAAATAAGATCCTTTTACGTACTTTTAAAACTCATAATTTCAGTCTTTGTAATAAATTAAACGATGAATCTTAAAGTTCTTAAACTATTTTATTTTCTTCTTTCTCAAAACTAGTAATTTTATTTCGAAACTTTTCAATCTCATAATTAAACTCGTGAGAATATTTTTTTTTTTAATATTATAAATCCTAATTGTGTGCTTATAATATTAATTTGTAAAATATTTATTTATATAAACGTAATTAAACTTTGAATAAAATTTTATAAATTGAAAAATTGATCAACAGTTTAGAAATAATTTTTTTTTTAATAAATTAACACCAAATTGTTCATAAAATTTTATTAAACTCGTAATTTTTAGTCTTATGATTGTATAATAAAATAAAATAAAATGAGATAACCTTAAAAAAAAAATCATTGATTTTTCAAAATGGTAAATATAGATTTTTGGTTCACCCTATAGAAAAAAAAGAAATAGCAAAAGTGTAACCAAAGTCAATTTCAATCTCCTTTAAACAGGATCTTTTATTTATACACACACATACTACACACAAGTATATGTGAGTTTGTGTAACAGAAACAAGCGGAAAAACATGGGTCGTGTTTGATTCAAATGGAAGAGAACTTCCGCGTGGACTTTCAAGTCAAAGTCGGTTTCTATCACTACTACGAAGAAACTATATAAAAAAAAAAAAAGTAGAAAAATAAAAAATAAGAGAAAAAAAAAACTACTCGTCCTTGTGGTATCCAATTTATTTTTCTTTTCGTCCTTTCCCCATTTATGACGTGAACTCGAATTGAATTTTTCCTCTCTTTTGATTCTTTCTTGAAAAGTCACACACCCCTTTCCCCTACCCTTCTATCCAACCCCATTTTTCACCCTCGTCTCCCCATCATTTCCCATATATTTGATATTTTATATTTTCAAAAAGATACGAATATAAAATTTGATATTTCAAATTATTTAACATCATTTTGACACACGTTGTGAATACTACTCTAGTTTTTTACATAATGATTTATCATATGTAAGATAAAATGTATTAAAATATTATTTTTTCTTTAATTTTATTTTTATTATTAGAATTTTTTAACTCTTAGAGATAACTTTATAACCTAAAAAGGCTGTGAAGTTAGTTTTAGGAATGGTTGTTATTTTTTTACTGAGGTTAGGTTGCTAACCTCGAACCATCCTCCTGTATGTGGGCTTGGGACCAGCTAGTTACTATCTAGGTATCTAAATATTAACTAGGCGGAGTTAAAAATATTTTTTAATTAATAAAAAAATTATTAAAATAATATTTATTAAAAATATAATTTAAATTTATTTCAAATGTATAATACAACATCATATTTATTATATTATTAATATAATATTATTATAAAAATTATATAATAATTTATTTTAAAAATTAATTAATAAATAAATAAAATAAAATATGAATAAAATAATATTAATATAATAATATTAATATAATATTATTATATAATRAATAATTATTATATTATATTATTAATATAAACACAAATATATGCAACTATGTCCAACTTTATGGAATTATTAAAAGGGGTAACTAATAATCATAGTTTTAAATGTATTTTCTACGTGAATTCTATTTTTAAATTATTTGTCATATTTTTATTATAATTATATATCTTAATATATATAAATTACGTGTCACGTTGTTTGTCCGCAATGGACTCCTAAACTATTAAACCGATTTGAATAAAATTTTGCACACTGTGTGCAGTTTCATCCAACTTGAAAGATAGGATAGTTTATATCTAAATTTATAATAGCAATATTATTTGTTTATTAACAAAAAGTCATGAATATCTTTGTTAGTTCGATAAGATTTTAACAGATGGCGATATAAGGTAATTCGTTTACTTAAAGACGTGTGTATCGGACTGATTATGAGTCACAGCAACGCGTGGCGGGGCACCCCTAGTTTATAATTAAAATTTAAAAAAAATTAAAAATAACAAAAAAGAGGTTATGTAGAACTCTAATGATTAATTCGTCGTAGTATACCTTAATCGTTGGTTTGTTGGTTGCTTGGTAATTTTCCTGCTCCTTATGGGTATTTGCTTGAAGATTATTTGTATAAACTGTGTGTGTGAGTGTGTATGTGTACGTCGTTTGTATAAATCAACAGAAATGTATATTAGAAGGGATAAAGAAGAGATGAGACTATTTGCTAAGAGTGGTATAGTTTTAAATCAACCCTTCTAAATGTTATTGCATGCTATACTTTATCCAAGATGGTTTCCAAGGTATCCAAATAATTTCTACTACATTTTTTTTAATGTTAAAAATAAAAGGAAATTTAGTATTTAGTTTTTTTCGTACTAATTGTAACCTCAAAAAACAATACAATTACTATGATGCATTTCATTTGTGTTTTTATGCAACTTTGTATAGTTTTGCTATGAAAAGCAATTATAAATTTTTAATGGGCAACTAATACTAACCCAATTATTTAATTAAATAATATTTCCAACACAATTAATCTTAATTTTCTATTTTGTTATATTAAAAACAAACATAGTGATCGATCAATAAAAATAAAAATAAAAAATTCAAACCACTGATGCAATTTCTAACCTGACTTTATTTCAATCATAAATAACCTTAAGTATTTGTAATTAAAATTAAACCAAAAAATAAAAGGAAAGACTATGCAAACGATTGAAAATTTTCGAGTAAAGGGAAGAAAAGGGATCAATAAATACAGTAAATAACGATTTTCTTTTACAAAAGGTTCCAAAGTTTCTCCCTTAAATCTCTTTAATCGTAAACCCAACCTTCGAGAGAAAGAGAGTTGTTATGAACGTTCTTTGAATTACTTCCCACATCCCTCATCTATCTATCCCTCCCTCTCCCCCCCTTGATCCTTTTCCCTATCTCTATTTTATCCTTCTCTTTCATAACCCTTTTCTCTCTCTCTAGGATGAGAGAAATATATTATATCTTCAGTTTAGGGATACGATAAGATGATTTAAGATTTGACGTTGATTTATTACAATTACTGACAAATTAATTTATTTCTAAATTAATTCTAGAAATATATATATATATTATAATGATATAAATAAAATAATAATACACGAAAAAATAGAAAAAAAGTAAGGTTAGTTAAATGTATTACGTGAATATAGGAAAATAATTGAATTGTAGTACAGCACCATCTATTGAAAATTTACAGTACTTAAACACCTGCATAATCTTTAAATAATAAATGTTGATTTAATATATTTCTAAAACTATTTAATAAATTATAACAACACACACAAAATAATACCACAATTAAAATGTAATATATAAAATAATATAAGAAGTAAGGTTAGTTACACGTATGACGTGAATATAGCAAAATAATTGAATTGTAATGCAACATCATCTATTGAAAATTTACAATACCCTACCTTCATAACCTAAATAATAAATCCTTAAATTAGCAATAAAAAATAACAAATAATCGTGATAAAAACTATCTTTATAATAAAATAATAATAAATATAAGTATATTATTTTTTTTTTGTAAAAGAAAATAACAATTGAAAATATTCTATAATTATTACAAATTTTTATATTTGACCAATCAAATGATTTTTATCATAAAACGAAGAGTACAATTGTGCTTAACAAATGTATAAATTGAAATAATTACATTGTAATATACAGTGTCATCTATTGAAAATTTACAGTACCTAAAAATGATTATTATCATAAAACGAAGAACACATTTGATTTAACAAATGTATTATTGAATTATTTTTGATTTTTATCGAAAATTTGAACATTGATTTTTGTAATTGTTTGAAATTGTTTTAAAATTATTGGATTAAACGTTTTATCTATTGTTTATCTTCTGTTACAGTTTGAGAACCAATCAACCAAGCGGCCTGGAAACTGGTGGAGTTCGACTGGAATTGAGCAAAGCACTCGATCTTTGGGCCAGAAATTCGAAACTAACTTTTCAGGAAGTTAACAGCGATCGTGCTGACATTCTTGTTTACTTTCATCGGTAAGATTATTTATTTATAATTATATAATAATAAGATAAAATCTTATCACGTATTTTGTTTTATCTTAAATAACAATAGAGTAAATAAAATAATTAAAGTAGTAAAATAAAGGTAGTTTGGTTTGAAAGGAATTTAATGTTTAGGGGGAAGGGTTATAAAACATCATGGAAAACCACCCCCTATGTGTGTGTGTGTGTGTGTGTGTGTGGTGTGTAATTATCATTTAACGTTAATAAGCCTTGGTATTCACATGAACTTGCCTGCAAGGGATTTGTTTTGTTCGCGTGAATGCGCAACTAACACACACAAACCAACACTAACGTGTTATAAATTGCTATGTGCAAATACTACTTCTATGTACAGATATATTTCTATAATATGTGCATATTATATATATATGAATATTCCTACACACACATGTATATACATTGTATATGTATGTGCATGCATTTATCCATACAATATGTGAATGTGTATTTACCTATACGTGCAAATACTGTGCATCAATGGGTGCGTTTACGTACGTTGAGTAAAGATATATGCGTTTGTGTGTTTCTGTACATGTGTATTTGTATGTGTGTAAGTATATGTGGATATGTGAGATCGATAAAGAGGCAATAAACGTTATTACATGTTATCAAAGGAGAACGTCACACACATATACATATATATACGTAGTTGTATACATGTATATAAGGAATTTGATCGTATACTTTGTCATGGTGTTTTTATAGATTTTTTTTTAATTTCCCCTATCAAAGTTTTATATTATTCGAATGAAATATTTGTTTGAAACGAAAATTATGATATCTTTTAATAAATTAATTTTTTTTATTTTTATTAATTGGTGGATTAATTGGTATGTATTTTTTTATTAACAGTGGTTCTCATGGGGATGGATATCCATTCGATGGAAGAGGACAAATCTTGGCACACGCATTTTTCCCTGGTAAGGATCGTGGTGGGGATGCGCATTTCGATGAAGAAGAAATTTGGTATCTTCAGGACAACAGCAATGAGGAAGGTAAATAATTAAAAAAATAATAAATTATATGACACCCGCTATAGTGGTTCGCTTAAATTAAATTTTTCTGTAATTTTTAATTTTGAAAATTGTTTAAGAATGACGATTAGAAAAGCAGTATTTCTTTTTTTGATTTATTGCCAAGTGGGTCACGTGTATGGAGGGTAGAAGTAAGGAGTAATATCTCTTATGGAAGAAAATATGAAAAAGTGTCCAGCGTTTTCTGTCAATAACAGTTCAAAAACCTTCAAGAATGGCACTGGTGTAGACACTTGGTATGGTATGAATGTAGCAATTGTAAATGTATTGTAATTGTTTATTTCTCAATCCTACTCTAATAATATTTGGTGCTTCCTTTAAAAGTTGCCATGATGCTAATGTGGCGCCACCTCAATTGGTTCGGTTTCGACGGACACTTTTCATATACAGAGATGTTACTCCTTAATTCTACCCTCCATAGTCACGTGTTACAAAAAAAAAGATGGCCATCTCTGAAAGACTCTGAAGTAAGTCGAGAAGGATTTTCTTCTCGTATGTTTGCGGATTTTCTTCGACGTTATCAGTTTCTTTCGATATAATAATAAAAAAAAGAAAAAGAAACTGAATAAAGAATCATATGTTGTATATGATTTGTAAGATATTAGAAATTTTGTAATATTATATTTTTATTTTTATTTTATTTATTGATTATTAAAAATATTAATATTAAAATAAATTTATTAAAATTCACACGTGAATAATAATTTGAAGAAAATCAAATGGTAATGAAATTAAACTTAAACAAAATTATCCAAAATATTTTCAAATTAAAACTAACCTATATTACATTATTGCATCTTAGAAAAATACAAATGTTAATTAAAATTAATTAAAAAAAGAAATCAACACAGATAAAACCAAATGATAATGAAATTAAACTTAAAATAAAACTACCCAAAGTATTTTCAAATTAACCAGTTAACTAAATTTAACGAGTATACTTTGGTAATGACCATTGGCTATTTAAATTGTAATTTTTGTAAAAGAGAAACAAAACATAATCTCAAATTTAGGATTAGTAAAAAAGAAAAATGAGAATTTTTATATTACTATTCTTTTCTTTTTAATTATTTTTACTTTATTTTGTTTTCATAAATGAGCCATTTTAACCTCGAAACTCGAAATCGTTCGATTCTAACGACACACAGCGGTGTTAACTTTCAAAATGGAACACTACAGTTAACTGATTGACAATAATAATGAATTAATACAATATAGATTGAAATTAAATCATAAAAAAATAATAAATAAGATTGCAATTAATTTGTAATCCTATTTATGATCATTTTATTTTCATAAATGTGCAATTTTAAATTTAAAACTCGAAATCGGTCGATTCTAGCGACACATAGCGGTATTAATACTAATTATATATTACATTATCGTATCTTAAAAAAATACAATGTTAATCTTCAATATAATTAAAACAAAAACTAACAAAAATGAAAATAGGGAATGTAATAGAAAAAGAATTGTCTAATTCATCCTCAAAAAGGAATTTCAAATCCATTCTTCTCGATTACCTTAAAAAAAAGAAAGAAAATAGAAAGAGAAAGATAAAGAGAGAAATAAATAGAAGATCATGGAAAGGAAAGAGAAGGGAAAGGGCTGTTCTAGGTATTAGAATGGAATCCCTTTCGACAATTCTCCAGGTCTTTACATTCTACCGTCGAACAGTGATTCCAAATTGGTCTCGTTAATAACGTCGGCTTATCTCTCTCTCTCTCTTCCTCTCTCATTTATGCATCAATGCTTCCTTCCTAGTATGCAAGAGAGAAAGGGAAGGTTTGATTCTCGACATAACAGCCACCATTAGCATAGTTATAACGGTTGCAAGAACACCACAACGTCTCCCAACTATGAATTCCAACGTTCCTCTCGTTTATACGAATACATTTTATGAGAATAAGGAACGAATTCTACCTTTTTTTTTTTTTATTTATTTATTCTATTATTTTAGTTCTTATTTTTCTTCTCTTTCTTATTCATTATCATTCTATCTTATTCATTATCATTCTATCTTATTCTCTGGGGAAAAACAAGAATAGGGAATAAGTGGAGACTGTAGGTAGTAGTAGGGTGGGTAAATGGGGTGGATATTTAATGCTACTGACCATTTTTATATACAGGGTTGGGGAAAAAGTATTATCGTGTATTTTAACACTGTTTAATAAAGAACTTATTGTTATATATAATAAAATAATATATATTTCCAAATAATTCATATAAAATATGAATTTAATTAATAAAACAAATGATATATATATATTTATATTTATATTTAAATAAATAAAATGAAAAAATAATTGATATAAAAAGTTATAATGATATTTGATAGGAATAGTAAAACTTATTGAAATGTACGAAATCGACTATGAACTCTCGTTCTCGTTCATGTTGATTCCTTTCGATTGATCGAACGGATACCAGCCCATTGAATATTTATTGGAGTCAACCTCAGTATTTACCAAGGTGCCAGAATCGAAACCATTTGGTAAATACTGAAAATCGATATTTATATATATATATATATTTTACCCCTTATACACAATTTCACACACATATTCACATCTCACTTTCTCCACACTTATATATTAATATCGATATCAATATCAATATTGATATTACTAAACACTCCTACTATTTTGTCATTCACTGTTACTCATGTGAAATACAAAAAATATAAAAAAAATTATTAAAAAAATATAATTTCAAATTGATAAGATTATTAAATTAATTTTATTATTAATACAATAATATAATATATAGATTATATTTAATAAAATTTATTTTAATAAAATCAATAAATATTTTATTTAATTATATATATATATAAATATTATTTTTTATTAATTTTATTATATATATTATAATTTTTATTGCAATTATTAATTTAATTTATTATTATTATTATTATTATTTTAAATAATTTGTTTTTTAACTCACACAAAGTACAACCCACGACAGAAAAATATAAAAAAAAATCTGTTGAAATTAATTTTCTTTTTCTTATTCATACGTATCTAATATAATTTGATTAATTTCATTTTTATTATATTATTCGTATTATTTTCTATTTTTTTTTTTTTTTCTATTCTTTTTCATTTTTCAGCGATCTCTCACCTATTTTGCCATCTCATCGATAGCTTTGCCGATAAACTCGAGACACACCCTTCGACTTTTCCATACACGCGCTCGAGGCAAATATGAATTTTTCATAAACGACTAAATGGAACACGCTACTACTAGTACTACACACACACACACACACACATAAACGCACATATTAGAGATAAGGGGTATGAGAGTGAGGGAGGGGGAAAGGGGTACACCTCCTCCCACTCCTCTCATAAAATATTCAAAATGTCGAGGAAGCTGATTTTCAGCTATCTCGCAAATTCGCTTCGAGTAGTGCTTTTCTCTCTACCTGTTCCCCATTCCCACCCCATTCCAACCCCTTAAACCCCATTCTCATACCATTTCATCCTCCTTCTTCACTTTGTCCCATCGTCAACATATTTTTTTTTTTTATAATTTTTTTGTTATAGATCGTTGACAATTTACATTATTTTTCTATTTTGTCTTGTTTAACACTTTGTTTAACATTTGACGTATCAATACGTCATGCATTTGTTTAAGCAATGACTCACATAACGTTTTGATACGTCATTGAAACTTATAAACGAGATTTAATTACTTCATTTCTATGGTTTATTTCTAATAAATCCTTTTTATATTATTATAATTAATTATTATAATATTTCAAAGTAATTTTTAAATAAATTTTTACCCAAAGGGTCAATAAACGTTCCATCGTATTAATTTCAATTGCTTTTCCGATTTTTTATTTGTTCTTTTTTATTTTATTTTTTTTATTTTTTTACCTACATGGTTGGCAATTAAAAAAAAAGAAAAGATTGATGTGGAATAAATGGACAACGTTGTTTCGTGAAAATATTCTACGAATAATATATGAAATACGTGAAATTGTTACACGTATTATTTGAAAGAATAAAATACATTTGTTGTAGAAATAAAATACGGTATTTCAAATTCTTGACAATTTTTAATTGAATATTACAACTTCATATGATTGATCAAAGATTTAATAAATTATTTACAATTAATACTTATTTATATAAATAAATTTTTTTTTCTTATTTATTATCATTGAAATAAAAACGTTTTATAATTTTCATGAGAATATTTCAAAATGTTATATGAAATTAAAAATATGTTTGAAAATGAAAAAAAAAAAATATAAAAAACAAAAAATACATTTGTGCTCATAATTATGAAAGTGGTCTAAGTCATGTATCTCTTGTTTTCGAGATATTTAAAAATTTATATTTGAACATTATATGAATTCTATATTGTAGGCGAAAAAACTAGTATTCAGTTCATTTCTTTATATTCTATTTTCTGGAAAGGAAAACTCTATTCAGAGACTAAAAAGGAAAGATTTGGGAGGGCTATAAAACCATAAAACAAAACTTAAAAATTATTGGGACCTACTGGTGCGATGAAAACCCTTTGTGCTAGTGTCGGGCCCTTCAGATAGTTTCAGATTTCTATGGAAACACGTGTGACACATAAGGAGAAACAATACTCCATTATTTGAAACGAAGTTCCTTTATGCATGGTCTTTTACTACGATCTTTACTTAAAAAACATAAGCTGTACCTATCGATTGACTATAGGGGGTGTACCCTTTTTCTATTGGTCAATAAGATTCATAATCCCCTTCCCTCTCCAAAGGGGTGTAGCTCATTTCTGATATAAATATGTGTAAAGAAGTAAGAAACTGTCCTTAGTCAGTCCTTAGTCAGTCTGTATTTGTCCTTTTTTTTTTATCTTGAGGTTTGTTTACCCGGGCGCTCAGTCTCTGGACCATTGTACCCGGGCCCCTTGCGGGGAAAAACCTATGACCATAGCGGTCCCGCGGGCAGCCCCGACTCGCTTGCAAAGCGCAGGAGTCTAGCCGCCCCTGAGCCCACTAGGTCGAAGTTGTTGTCGCTGGTCCCAAGGACATCATTTCTGACGTCCGCGAGCCCAACGCATTGAGTTATGAGATGGAGGGGGGTACCTCTCCTTCGCCACACCTGCCGCAGACCGAGTCTTGTGCAAGGCCCAGTCGCGTAAGGTGCTTTCTAAGGTGCCAGTGCCCGGTGACCAATCCTACCACCAGCCTCAATTGGGCTCGGTCCAGGTTGATCAGCTCGGTACCTAGCTCCTCTGAAGGCCCTGAAAACCTGTATCTGTCCTTAATCAGTTCTTAGTGCTCAGTCTGTATCTGTCCTTAGTTAGTCAGTCCTTAATTTGTCTGTCTGTATCTGTCTGTTATATCCGTCTGCGTATTCAGTTATTCTACAAATCAGTAAATCAGTCGGTCTTGTATTTGTAACTCTTTTGTATTCTGTATTTTTGTAACCACGCCACTTTGTGTAAACTTATGTAAATACCGCTCGACATCACATCATCATAATTAAATAAACAATCACACACATATATTTCAGTTCATTATCAGTTTAATTCATATTACTTCTCTCTGTTTGAACTCCACAATATAATATTAAAATAACAAACATTATCTAACGATTCATTTTTGAAGATATAGTTTTCAATTACATTGAATTTATTTAGTTTCAAATAATGTGGTAATTAATAACTGATAAACTCATTTTTTTTTTTTTTTTAATTTTGACTTAGACCACTTTCATAATTATGGGCACATTTAATGGGTTAGAAAATTATTATCAAACGTTAATATATAAATATACTTCATTCTATTTTATTCTTTTACAATGATACCCAATAATACTAATCTGCATTTAAAATTCATCCCTCGGTGTAATAATTTTCCTCGAGAGAAACGTTCATTTCAATTAAACTACTCTTTATTGTTTCATCGATAAAAAAAAAAAAGAGGAAAGAAGAAGAAGAAAAAAAAATTTTTTTTAATCCTGACAATGAGAGAAGAAAGCAAATAACGTTTAAATGGATAATATTTTATGAGTCTCGATATATTTCCGCGCTTTTAAATACATCTGCATAAGTATGTATAATACTATGTACATATTGGGTTGGGGAAAAAGTATCTTCGTTTATAATAAATGTAAAATTTCGTTTAAAAAAAAAAAACCGTTTACATTACGAATACTAAAGACATTTTTAAAATTAAATTTTTACATTTATACAAAAATAAATTAACAGAAAAACAACATTTTGTACAATTTCATAAATTTGTATATAATTTGAATAAATAAATTTTGT